GGGAGTGATTGGTCATTGTTTATGTGATGCCCAGTTGCTTGGAATGGATCAATTTTGCATGATTCTTGCTTTCCTTGCGGTTGTTTGATCAATCGTTTGGGCTTGATTGTTGGCCCTAGGTGGTGTCCTTACAGTATGGGGGAACTGTTGAACCCATATTGTTGGTCCTAACGAGTATTTTCTTGGCTCCACCTTTGTTGTTGATTTTGCAGGATCATGTCGCTCGATCACCCGTTCATGCAGGACCTGCGCCTACACCCGCAGTACGTTGACCAATACCGCGGGGTCATACGCGGAGTGCTCCAGCGCCATCACCATTTGGAGTGGGGGGTCTTCGAGCAGCTTCACTGCATGAACGAGATCTCCAGCGCCATCAGCCACCCTGATTGGCGGACGTTGCTGAGCATCGATGAACCCACCTACACAGAGCTGGTGTGGGAGTTCTACACCACCTTGCGGTACCACTCCAAAGCAGTCCGGGACTCCCCCACCAGTGTCGCCTTCAGGCTGGGTGGGCACCCGCGGCAGATGATCATCGATGGGTTGGCCTACGCCCTGGGGATCCAGTACCACCCCTACTCCCGCCATGAGGTAGAGATCCCACATCCGAAGGACTGGAACCAGGACGCGTTTTACCGCCGAATAGCTTGACACGCCTACGGGATGGACTACTTCGATGCCGGGCAGTCATACGTCTCCACCCTCAAGCCACAGTGGCACATCCTCAACCTGCTGATCACCCGCTCGATAGTCCCCAACGCCACTGGTTCTCACAAGATCCCGAAGCGGGTGCTCTACGCTATGTACTTGATGGGGACCCCGGATCACATGTTACACTTGTGTTCTTTCGTGGCCAACACCTTCTCTCGGTGCCACAGGAAACCCAACCACCTCTTCCGTGGTCCCCTGAGCACCCGACTGGCGCGCCATTTTTAGATCGACCTGGCGTGACTCACGGATGCCACAGCACGGGGCGACTCCACCCTTCTCAACCGGGAAGTGCTTCAAAACGCGCTCCTCCTGGCCTCTGATGGAGCGCGTTCCTGGGTGGATAGGTTGTCTCTGCCTCTCGAGGAGGATGCGGATCTTGATGAGGATGAGGACGAGGACTACACCGGCGAGGATGAGGCTGATGATGATGATGATGGCCGGGCCATGGATGCTGATGAGTCGGAGCCCCCGCTCTCTCCACCAAGGTATCTTCAGCCACAACGGAGACCCGAGCGAGGTGAGTCCTCCTCCGGTCCTTCTGGCCCATCGATGGCTTCTGGTCCATCGATAGATTTCTTCACAGAGCAGTTTCAGCAGATGGGGCTCCAGTTTCAGCAGCTCGGGCTCTAGAGCCAGCAGCTCATGGACCATCAGGTCCAGTTTTACCAGCAGTATTCGGCCCACCAGGCCGAGTACCACTCGCGTATGACGGTTCTGGATGAGCGCCTCAACCGGATGGAGGCTTAGCTGGGAGTCACCAGTGCTCGCATCGAGCGGCAGCGGGATCGTAGCCGCCGGATGATGGAGTACCAGGAGCAACTGCTCCAGTCCTGCCAACCGCCACAGGAGCACCACTAGACTACCTGGTGGGACCACTCACCACCCCCGCCACCACCGACAGATGGGGTTGACGACCTCATGGACCAGATCAACTTCAGCGGGCTCGAGTAGGCTGTACTCGTTGCTCGATTTGTGTTGCTTTTGTTTGGTTAGGAGTGCGAACTGGCTTTTGTTTGTTTTTTTTCTTGTCTTTTGGATGGTGTACTATGGGGCTGACATTTGACCTAACATTTTTGTGCTTAAGTGTTTGTGTCTTCTTTAGCCTTGCCTTAGCCCGACTGGTCCCCTTCCAGTCCGTTTCACTCAGAATGGTCCGCCTTCCAGTCTTATGCAGTCCGCGCAACCCGGTAACATCGTTCACCTTGTCCTTCCCTCTTCTCCATTGAGGGAAATGTCGAAATTAAGTGTGGGGGATGTATCTATTTGACTGCTTAGATCTGTTTGTGTGCGTGGAGCCTAGTCCACTGTCCGAATTTCAATTTGAGGGCTCAAATTACGTGTTCCATGCAAATTGCCTGCTCAATATGCTTTGAATTGACAGTTTCTATAGTAATGTGCAACCTAGGGAGGTAGTGTAGCACTATGGAGGATGTTGAAGTATAAGATTTTTCCTATCTAGCTCTCTGCTATGCTGGTTGTTCTTGTGAATTAGTGGAGTTAAGACCGTCGAATTCATGTGGTATTGATGACTCCTTTTGAATTGTGTTGTGGACTCGTGTATCGAATAGGGTGCTCATGTGGGAAATGAAAAGCAGTTGGTCCTCCATGTCGAAATCATTGAAATCTTAAACATGGGGTAAGCCCAACGTGTGTGGCACCGTTCATTGCACAGAATCGGGTTTTGGAAGAGATTTAAGTGATCCTTAGTGGGGTACTCCTACAAGGTGAAGCTAAGCTGTCTCTAGTACGAGTAAAATATTCACCCGTTGAACGGTTTGCCTACTCGAGGATGTGTTTTTAAGGGAACGGATAGAGCTTCCGAACCCCCTTAATTTCATTGACCCTCCACACGAGTTGAGGAAAAGGAGTTAAAAGAAGTACTCTACCGAGTGCCATATGTACAAAAATTGCTCTTGCTCGACTAATAAGGTCGACCGTACAAAAGACTGCAGTTGGAACCCTCGCCAAGTGAAAAAAAAAATGTAAAATGAAAGTGAAAAAGGGGTTCCAACGGTGAAATGAAGTGAAAGAGCACCCCGGTACAATGAGTCCTTGGTTGTGAATGGTGTGAGTCCCTTTACCCATGAATTGGCTATCTTACTTCCACTTCTTCTCATGATCCTGGCTTGAGTCTAGTACTCACATTGAGAGAGATAGGGGAGGTCTTAGAAGACCAGTTGACCTCGTAAGCTGCTATATGATCTACGAAATCCTTTACCGACGATTGGGGTTGTTTGTTGCAATAGAGGTCTGGAGAGCTGCATTGGTTTGAGTTAGGTTTGCTTGGGGACAAGAAAACGGTTAAGTGTGGGGGAATTTGATAGACCATTGATTGCACGTGTTTTTACCTCCATTCTTGAGCCGTTTGAGAGTCGATTCTCGTGTTTTAAGCCGATTTCACGCTAGTTTGTGTGTTTCTGTCATATTACAGGACTTGGCGTTGACGTGAAGGCGAGGAAACGATTTTCGGGTCAAAAGGAGGACGTTGGAGTAGAAGGGTGCTGGAGGACGTTGAAAATACCCGGCCGGGTAAAATGCAATGGGAGGCCGGGGAAAATTGTTTTTGGACGCCAAGAAGCATGAGGGGCCCGACCTGAGAGCAAAAATACACGATCAGGTATTCTAGACCACGATCGGGTATTAACCCCTTTGGTGCTGCACTGCGTTTCAAAATCCCCGGCCGGACACTGGAAATACCCGACCGGGGATCGCGAACAACTGGTTCTTAAGGAAAAGAAGGCCAACTTTTGAAGGGTTCCGAGTTTTAGAGAGAAAAAGCTGATACCTATAGAGAGAAAATAACGAACCTGATTCTCCAAGTTCCCTAGATTGATCTTCATCACCATTGGAGCCCGGCTTGAGTTTGGAGAAGTGCTGATTGATTGCCAGAAGCAGAATCCCATCCTTCATAGTATGGCTTCCGCATTTGAGCTAGATTTCCCTACGCTCTCTATGGAGTAACTTTCTCATTCACCTGGGTATGAAGAACCCTAGATTTGTATGTTAGGTCTGATTGTATGAACCCAAGTACGAATTCAGTGATATGATTATATTCAATTGAGGTTTGATTTCTTGAATGGCATGAATCCTGATCAAATTCCTATTATTTCTGCTTTGACCTAGAAAGAGAATATCTGTCTAGGTTGATAGAGAACCCTTGATTGAAGGTAGTGAATTGACAACTTTAGTCGAGGAGTTAATTCACTATTCTGTACCGGATTTACTTCGGTAGAGGAGGTTGGGTTCATTAGGGCCTCAATCTGTTTACTCTAGTGGAGGTTAGTCGCCCGCTGGGGACTCAAATTGAGAGGGTTTGGAGACCTTTAGTCGAGACTGCAGACTGTTTAAGAACCTCCCGCGGTATAACTATCATTGAACTTGAACTTGGTAAATTACAACCTGACTTAACTGCAGTCTAGGGGGAACCATATCCGGGTGACCTCTCTCAACTTGAACACAACCTTCACTGCACTTGAACCGCTAGATAACAAGACTTTCACAGAGTAGTCATCACACCTAGGACCCAGGTTGACAATTAGAACTGAACCCGCTATACTACGCATTAGTAGGTGGTTGCACTTGGCCACTTTCTAGTGTGACGATAGAGGCATGTCACCTCTCGATGGGGTTCTCTATGCAACCTCTCCTAGCCAAGATTCCTTCATTTTCGTTCCCATTATGTATAATATGATGGCTTCCCAGAATTTTCCTTCATCTAATCCGATTATTTTGCAAGTTTATGTTATTCGTGTTTTTTAGCATGTTATTGGTAAGAGTTTTTTATTCTATTGTACCTTGGGTAAAATACTAAAATCAAAATTATTATATACTTCGAGTAAAAAAATGATATCTAGACATTAAATTGACAAGAGTTTTAAAGATTAAATTCTACATCTCAGTTCTATAAATCCCATACACTAAGATCGATGGTTAAGATTCGTCAAAATATATGCAAAAAATTACATGCACAATCTTAGGGGTTAGCTCTATGACTTAGATAACAAAAACCTAGGGTTCACTCATCAAGGGTTAGAGTATAGTATCATGCCCAAAAATCCGTAATTTGAGGTCTAGATAGCATTTTCTTACTCACGGTATGTCGTATCTAGATTTTATCCAATATACAATAGAAGCCATCATATATTTGCCTTGAATTGTACATGATCAAATAACAGAGTTTGAAACCTCCCTTGACCTAATTAGATTTCTCAACAACTTGCAATAATTTAACTATACTACTGAAATTCCAGGGCCATTAGAAACGTAAATCTTGAAGGGTGAGTTATTTTTCACTAATTGCATTTATATTAGAAACCATAAACAAAGTTTAAGTAATTAATTAAGGTTTTCCATGTTCATGTTAGAACCCTGCCATCAAACTATTTTTCTTATATTATTTAGACTAATATTTTGTGACTGTATTTTTTGTAGTTCTATGCCTCGAAGAAATATTCTTCATAGATAATCATCTAAACAATCAAATAGTGCTTCAATTCGATCGCTAAAAATTGAATGTAAGTACAAATGATTTTATTAGCATAATCATATACATCTTTCAATTTAATGTGTGCTCATACACATGTGATTTAGGAAAAATATAGATGTTTTTATAGCACAGAAAGTGTAGTTGATTCCGATGAATCTCTTTATGAAACGCAAACAACATTTGCTAATGGCATGAGCATCAATATGATAGTTTTTGACTCGAATGTATACTAACTGCAACCACACAAAATCAAACTTTATGATTAAAGTTTCACAATCTTATCAATATGGTTATTTTACTTTTTCAAGGTAATGATATTTGGGTGCAAATACTCAACGGGCAAATCAAGGACTTCAACCCATGTTTCATGATTAGAGAGTCTACATCATTAAGAACTTCTAGTTCTTCCTGCCAATAGGAGATAAGAGATTACAGTCAAATTACGAACAAATCTGTAATCAAGTTTGAATAAAATATTGAGGCCCAAACATGCGAAAATATTTCAGCCATTTGAACGTATAAGTTTAATTTCATCAAACTAGATGATATTGACGAGAAGTGAAACCAAAGGAAATTTCTTCCAAGTTCGAATTACTATTCAATTCAAACATAATTCAAACTTGTGCATGTATAACAAAATCATTCACTTTTCATTTTTTATTCCACAAATGTTGTCGGCCAGCTTATTAAGCATTCATATTTATTCACAACTACTATACTCACTAGAAAAGTTACCCGCAAAGATCTCAAACTCAAACGTCCCGAGTATGTAGTTATATAAGCTTTCTGTTTAAAATAGCATGCATTACTTTAACTCTAATTAATTTTAATTTATAATTTGGGTACAGGGGATTGGTTGTCAAGGTCACTCTCTTTTGTAGGATAATTACCCAATTAATTGTCATCCTTGCAAATGAGAGTGATGGCCCACTCATTTTGGTCTTTACATCATTAAATGTTGATTCTTACAATTGTAAGGAAACATCTAAATTATTTTATTATTAATCCAAACATTTGAAATTACATTAATGACAATTAATTAAATAATCTTCAAATTTGAAGGCGAGAACACCTTCTCCTCAACTGGAGCGACCTTGCCGCTAAGCGAATCTAAGAAATTCAAAATTTATTAATTTTGTGCCAAGGTGAAATTTACAATAATTTAATCATCATATTTGGTTATGCATTGCATTATTATAAGTTTGAAGTTTAAAAAGATAGAAGAGAATAATTACCATTCTTTTTGTGAATAAAGTGACGGTGATGCACCTATTCCTCCAGTGAAAAGCCCAAAAAAACATCAATAGTCAATCCAAACCAAAACACTACATGCGCTAAATCAATTAAAAATGAAAGATGAAGAAGAGGTAAGTATCAGTTTCGATTTAACAACGCCATTAACTATGCTAACACTTTATTCTATACAAAAAAATGCTAACATTTTATGTAATATGTACAAAATATGTAATCCTTCATATGCAAACTTTTGAAAGTTTTTATTTATTTATTTATGAATAAGCCGGTTTTATTCCATCAAAGTACTGTCTGTACAAGGGTCATACACTGCCTGCTACTCTCCTATCTACCGAAACCACTAGTAACAATTCGTGCAAACCTAAACTACTGCAGCACTTACTCTGTACAGTTAACAATTCTTCCAGGTTACATGAACCAAAGCTTCCTCTTCTCTACTGCTAGACTGAACTTCAGATTGCCTAGCATCATCGCCTCCATTATCTGTTTCAGGTTGGCAATTAAGTCTTCTGCCTCCACTATCTTCTTCCCATATACTCTACTGCACCTCTCCCTCCAGATCGCACTAATCGTCGCGTTCCACAACACCCTCCCCACACAACAGTCTTGGAGCTTTATCACAGCTTCCTGCAACCCAGCTCCCCACCCTCCTCTAGGAAGGTATCCCCAGCTTGGTGGAAAGACAGCCTCTATCACCTCCTGCACAAAAGAGCATGCAAAAAACAAATGGTCCCTGGATTCCTCGTGCCCCAAGCACAGAGGGCATCTATTCACAATCTCTGGCTGCCACTTTTGTATCTTGTCAAAAGTAGAGATTCGGTTTAGAGTAATAAGCCAAGAAATCAGAGAGTTCTTTGCGATGAGAATGGGCTGCCAAATCAGCTTAAACCAGGGCTTGTCCTCTTCTTTATGCCTGAAGTGTTCCCATATCAATTTTACCTTATATCTATCCATCAGCTTCCCTTCCCAGCTTACCCCTTGATGTGATCCAAATCCGAAGAGAACCCTCGAACTCGGATTATATAACCGAAGTACGCAGCCTTCCTTCTTTTTACGGAATTTTCAAAGCTTTTCTTGACAACTTGAAAATAAAGGATAGATATGGAACACGATCAAACAGATTCCAACTCGTGTGAAGGGCCAATTGGTATATGAAACCAATCAAACAATCACCCACTCGTGAATAAGGCCAATCGCTATTGGGTAGAAGCTCGCCACAACTAGACGCGTTCTCTAGTTGATAAGAGACACGTGAAACTCCTGGAGCACTCTCAACAGAAGCTTGCACAAAGAACTAGTTCGTATGAACTTGTAACTTGAAAGTTGATTGATAATTGAATGAGTTACAATGAGGAACTCAGCCTCTTATTTATAGACTAGCTAACACAAATCCAAATCTTAAAATGAAAAACAAATCCTACAAGTAAAAGGAAAAAACACAATCCTTAAAAGACAAGTAAAAGGAAAACACAATCCTTAAAAGACAAGTAAAAGACTTGGTCAACAACTCCCTAGATTCTAGCTTTGCAATCCTCCTTCACATGGCTTGTGTTCACACCTGATATTCCTTTCACACTTGTATTCCTTTCAAACCTTGTGTTCACACCATGGGAGATCTTCTTTCCTTCTACCAAGCCCATCTTCTCTTCATTCTAGTCCATAAATCGTAGCAATGTGATGGACTTTCCTTCTAGCAAGTCCACGTCCATCAAGAATGATCCCATTTGATCCTTGTATCGTCGTACTCGGGCCTTCATCTTTGGACCACGAGAATTATATATTCTGCCAATTGATTTCACATCAACAAACTCGTAGGCCTTGCTTGCAATGACCTTTTCTTCCACCTTGAATGCTTCCAAGCTCTCTTTAAACCTCTTAAATCGTCTCTTGAACCATGATCCATGTAGATATCTAGTTTGAGCTCGAGTGACGTCATGCGGGGTGAGTGGGGTCGCATCACCCCTGCTCTTGTCTTTGTCAGTTTCCCTTGGACCTGACTTCTCAGTTTCAGAACCTTGTTCCATAACCAAGCCCCTGGGGTACTCGTCTCCCAAATACTGACATTCCTCAATCGATACTCCTTGAGCCATGCTATCCACAAAAACTCCTTGTGTTATGCTAGATGCGACACTTACCCACAAAAACTCGAAGAAAAATATGATGAGTACTTTCGTGGGAATTGTAAAACAACATTAAAGACAACAACAACTATGTAATACAACCATTATTAGTGGAAAAATGGATTTTATATAATATGCATACCAAATGGTTGAATGGTGATGATATTTGGTCGGAAATACCCAACAGGCAAATAAAGGACTTTCAACCTCCGTTTCATGATTAGAGAGTGTATACCATCACGAACTTCAAGTTTTGCCTAGAAACAATAGATTATAACTCAATTATCAACAAATTGATAATCAAGTTTGAATAAAATATTGAAGCCCAAACATGCGACAATATTCCATTCATACCAGCTTACAAATTTAATTTCATCAAACAAGATGATATTGACAAGAAGTGAAACCAAAGGAAATTTCTTAAGGTTCGAATTACTATTCTTAATTCAAATTTAATTCAAACATATGCATATAAACAAATCATTCACTTTTCAATTTTTATTCTATAGATGTTGTTGGCCAGCTTATTAAGTATCCGCCTTTATTCACAACTACTAGACTCACTGGAAAAGTTGCCCACAAAGAGCTCATACTTCCCGAGTATACATTTATTTTAGCTTTCCGTTTAAAATAGCATGTATTACTTCAACTCTAATTGTTAATCTAATTAATAATTAGGGTATAGGGGATTGGTTGTCAATATCACTCTCTTTTGTAGGATAATCACTCAATTAATTATCATCCTTGCAAACGCAGTGAGCACTCGCTCATTTTGATCAATACATCATTATATGTTGACCCTTACAATGGTAATGAAACATCTACATTATTTTATTATTAATGCAAATATTTGAAATTAAATTAATGACAATTAATTAAATTATCGTCAAAATTGCAGGCGAGAACACCTTCTCCTCAACTGAAGCGACCTTGCTGCTGGCGAATCGAAGAATTTCAGCATTTATTAATTTTGTGCCAAGGTGAAATTAACAAAAATTTAGTCATCATATTTGGTTATGCATTATTATAAGTTTGAAGTTTAAAAAAGATAGAAGAGATTAATTACTATTCTTTTTGCGAATAAAGTAACAGTGATGCACTTATTCCTCAAGTAAAAAGACCAGAAAGCATCAACAATCATCCCAACTAAAACACTACATAAGCTAAATTAATTAAAAATGAAAGATGGAGAAAAGGTAGTATTGATTCAACGAAAACAAGAAGAGATAGTATCATTTTCTATTTAACAACCCCATAACTATTAAATGTTAACACTTTATGTAATATGTAGGAAATATGTATTCCGTCAAATGCAAATTTTTCAAAGTTAAGAATTTTTTATGTGATGCTAGATACACACCTACCCATAAAAACTCAAAGAAAACAGATGATCTTCCTGACTTGATCGAAGTAAATTCTACTTGCATCAAAATTGCCTCAAAATGATGATAATATTGATTAAAAATTTTGTGTTGTTCTCTATTGGATTTAGATTTTTTTTATAATGGTGAACAAATTTTATTAAACGAATAAAGTTACAGAAGAGAAAAGGACGGGAAAAGAAAAGGAAAGAAAACTGCACAGAACATGGGAAACAGACGCCCCGGACTCGGAAGCTGCAAATACAGTTCAGAGACAGGCAGCAAGCCAGTAAAGCGAGAGGGGACCAAACATGGCGCCCAAACACAAAATCCCACCTGCTTAGGAATTAATTGACCCCGACCGTAGCCTGCCGCAACACTTCTAACCAAAGTTCAGCAATGTCCTTTTCCACTTTGTTTGCCACAACTAGCCATCTCGCAATCAAACTTCCAATTTTAAACGCAACGACATTCTCCGTTGTTGCTCTGTCTTCAAAGATCCTGTAATTCCTCTCTCCACACACTCCAGCACAGAGCATGCAGAAACGTCCTTGTGCACCAATCCTTCGGGCAAGCAGGTTTCCTCCGTGGCCAACTCTGGATTGCCTGTGTAATATCTGGCGGTACCTGCTTCAAATACACGAAAGTTTGCATTCTATCCCAGATTTTGCGGGTGAACCAGCAAGTGATAAAAATGTGATTGGCATCCTCTTCGCTTGAACCGCAGAGAACGCTTTTGCTGGGGAAGCTCCATCCCCGCCTCTTCGAGGAGTCGTGCTTAAGAATTTTCTTGTGTTGTACAATCCACAAAAACGTACAGACTTTAGAGGGAATATGCCCCTGCCAAATTAGCCTGTAAGGAAATTCTTCCCTCAAACTGTACTTCTCCTTCACTTAGCCTTGGTACATGGATCGCACCGAGAATGTATCAGAAGCTGTTTCTTGCCAAATTATCTTGTCAATTCCTGGAGAAAAGAGAGACAGATCAAGGGTACCAAGTAAATTTAACAAACTCTCCCTCTTCCTCTCTGCCCCACCTCTCAAAGTGAATTTAAGAGGCAAAACCCAAACTAACCTCTCATTTTGCGCAAGTCAGCTTTGTGAGACCTTGGCAAGTGGGGAAACCGCAGCAGCTGCGACTCGCGGAAACACCTCGACCAGTGGCCTTTCAAGAAGCAAAACGTCGTACCAGAAAAGTGTGTCTTCTCCTGAACCAATCTTTACTCTAGCTAATTCCAGAAATTTGCCTTATGTTTAATAATTTGCCTCCACGGACTGCAGCCCAACGTTCCTGTCACTTCCCCCGCTAGCCCAACTTGTTCCTCTCTCCGCGTACTTAATCTGCAAGACTTCCCTCCACCAAGCATCTTTCTCATTTGAAAACCGCTACAACCATTTGCAGATCAAGGCCTTGTTCTGCAGCTCCAGGTCTTGAATTCCCAGACCTCCCCATCTCTTTGGAGTTTTACATTTCTCCCAGGCTACAAGATGGATCTTCTTTTGTTCATTCAACCCTTCCCATATGAAGTTCCTCTGTAGACCTTCAATCCTTTTGGACAATGCCCTTAGGTGCTAAGAAAAGCGATCCTCTAAACAGAGGTTGGCTCGCTAGGCACGCGTTACTTAGCACGATTCTACAGCCAAGGGACAGCAAGCCACCTTTCCAGCCACCCATCTTCGGTTGCATTCTCGTAATAATTGGGTTCCAAATCCGAGGTGCTGAAGGGAAACAACCAAGAGGAAAACCCAAGTACGTAGTAGGCAGAAACTCCCAGTTGTAACCTCTTCCACAGTGGAGTTGCAAAAGATAATGGCATCGTCTGCATAAAGATAATCATTGACCAGTCCTGCATTCCCGGCTTCTTGTGTCATAAATGAAAGTAGGTCCATGATGAGATTAAAGAAAAAAGGGGAGAGGGGGTCTCCCTGTTTTAGGCCTCTCTCAGTTTTGGAAAAGCCTGTTGCTTCCCCATTCACCAACACCGAGAGTCTTGTAGAAGAAACAAGCTGGTTAATGAGTGCTCTGTCGATGCGAGATAAGGATTGATTCCTTCCTCCCCTGCTCCAAGTGAACAAAGAACCCTTGAGAGGTAAATCAATAAGGCTGTATTTATTGATAAGCTCATTGAACCCTTCCATCAACATATTTTCCCTAGGTTTCCCTCTATAATCTTCTTCCGACCTTACCAGATAAAAGTCCCCAATGATGCAAAGTGGTTCCGCACAGAGTTCGCACACGGCACACCATTGCTAATTCCTTTAAGAATTCCAGTTTATCTGCCTTTACTTGAGGACCATAAATCCCCAGCACCACAAACGCATCCCCCTGACCATCCTTTTGCAATCTAGCCTCAAGGGAAAACCTTCCGTCCTATCTATCCAGCATTCTGTATGTCCCTTTATCCCAAAAGAAGACGATACCTCCACAGTTGCCAACTGCATCCTTTGCAGTCCATTCTGAATTCCTTCTTCCACTAACAGAATTAACCAAACCCTATGAGCATACTTCCCATTTAATTTCTGACAGAATTGTAATTTCAGGTTTCCATCTTCTGATCACCCTCTTGACAATAGCACGTTTTTCGGAAGATCCCAGCCCCTGGACATTCCATGATAGAATCGAAGCTGCGGCTTGCATTATGTTATGGTTGAATGGTTGTCGGCATACCTGGTACCAGATCTCGACTGGTGCCATGTTGATTTCCTTGACTCTGTGTGGAATTCCTCTAATTGTCTTGACTTTCTTCTACTACAGGGAAAGGTGCAGATAGTTTGCAGGCCAAGCCTGTGTAGCTCCATTTCTTCCTTGGACCTAGGATCTCTCTTCCTCTTGCATTTCATCTCTCGCGCAGTCTCCGCCACGAAAGTATCGGCTTTCTCTTTCGAGTTCCCCAGCTCAAGTCGAAACAACCTGCTCAACTTCAAGCTGCTCTCAACCAAACTCTTTAAGTCTTGCTGAAAAATTTCGTCAACACCCTCGTCTAGAGTTGAAGGGCAAAATGGAACTATCGCCAGCGGATTGGGATCGAGCTCAGTAGCGATATCGGGGTTTGATGTGACTGGAGAGTTGATGTTTGGGGCAGGATAATCATCAATCCCCAACGCATGGGTTGAAGGGGGTAAATCCAACTCTAAGGCTGTCTCTGGGGGTGGGGAGGAGCAAGGGGTTAAGGTTTTGGGTGGAAATGAATGAGTTGAAGTGGATTGGGAAGGTGAAGCGGTTGCGAAGTCTGAGGAGTCGGGAATTGGGATAGGGTTTTGTAAAGGTGGAGCGGAGAAAAGGTCTAGGAGAAAGGTTCTGGAGCGGTGATGAATAGGGTGAGAGTTTGGGTCAAAAAGAGTAAAGGAGAGGAGATGTTGAAGAAAGGACGGCCAAAGTGAAAGGAGGGGCAAAGGGTGATCGACGAAAGTTAGCGTTTCTTTGATTATGGTAACGAGCTGATCAGGCTCCAGACGAGGCAATATATTTTGGGCCGGGGAAAGGGAGTTGGGGGGCCCAACTGAAGTAGAATGGAATCTTTCTCGAGGTTCTTTCGTTCCCCTACTGGCTTCTTAGACTCGAGAGGTGCAAAGCAATTGGGACTAATCACGGGGCCTTCTTTTCTGATCCAAACATTTTTCCATCTGCTACGACTGTTTGTCTTCCCGCGAGAAGCTACCTCAGCGTTTGACATCCTCATGTCTCGCGGTTCGCGCACGGCTAGTGGAACTCGAAATCTGACTCCCAATCCCTGCTTTCAATCTTTCCAAAGCTCTTATGAGGATCTGATTTGCAATCCAGATTTGAATCCTTATGACGATTCAGCTCCCCTTCCAGCAAACTTTTTCTATTTAGGTCAGCCACCGGCAAATCGGCCGGCGGCGAGGTGAAGATTCTAACTGAAAAGACTTTTGTCCCAAACAAAAGTAAAATCTTCTGAGGCGGCGACTGGTAGTTCTTCACCTTGATTCTAAGGAAAGGGTCTTTCCATTTACCCCAATCGACGTCGATGAAACCACCACAAATGTCCCCGATCTTCCTGCAAACATCCAAGCACTTAAGGTGGGAGGGTATACCGAAAAACAAAAGCCAACTCAATCCACTCTACGATGCGAAATCTCGACCATCCTCTTCTTTCCAATTCCGTAGTAATACATTAAAGCCTCTAAACTTGTCATGTCGTATGTTCCGCACCCTTGTAACTTTCTCTAAACTAGAGCAGATCAGCATTAGCAGGTCTCCATTTTGCTTAGTGAAGGTGCTATTGTCGGATAGCTTCCATCTTTCTCTCGCCCATTCTTTAAACTCATTAAGAAGGTTGCTCGGTAGCCCGATGTTATGCGATCCGAAGAAGTGGATTGTCAAGCAACGATTAAGGAACTGCAACTGCCTCTGAATGCTAATATCCTCTATCTCAATATACTTTGAACACCTCCATTCCTTAATCTTACAACTTCCATGAAGAGTCGGCAATCCATTTCTGACCACGTCCGCAAAGGAGACACCTTAAACCACTCCCAGATTCCTTCTGCTACCATTACCCGTGCTCAAACTCTGTGCATCTGACGACCTGTTAGTGACAGTTTGTAGTGCTGTAATGAACTCCTTCCACCCTTCAAATGCTTTCACAATTGGAATAATAATATAGTAGGAACTCCCCTTGATATTCGATTCCACAATCTTAGCGCAGCGACCGAAGCGGTTGGTGTGCTCCCACAAACTGACGACTCTGCCACCCGACGCCTTTTCGCAATTCTTCGGAAAGGACCATCCAGTTTTTGCTGTTGCGGCTAAGGTAGATGAAGCGACTCCGGTTGGGACTACCATCAACTCTAATCCTGAACAGGCCTTCCTTCTTGGTACTGTACTCCTCAATAGCGATTGACTTATGTCCGATCAAGACCACTTGCACTGATGCTCGTTGAAAGCTCCATTGCGTCTCCCCACCAGCTTCGGACCTGCAAAAGGAAACACAAAAACCTCTCCAACGCTCCCCAACCCGCTCGCCGACGGAAAAACTCTCTCGCTCTCTCGCTCTCTTCTATTCTCTCATTAGTCTCGCTTTCTCTCTCATCTCTCACGCTTTGAATAATCACAACACTAAATTAACTCTACTTTAAAGCCTCTTGTTCTCTGGCTAAATGGTGGTACGTCAGCTGATTTGATTACCTACGTTTTGACATAAACTTCTGTAAACTTTCACCTCCCAAGTTCGGAACTTTGACTTATTTTGGCTTCCACTTGAAGTATGACTTTGGGTTGAACTCGATTGGCTTTTAGTTTTTAGCCATACTTTCAACAACAAGGTTATATTGGATTTAGATTTTGCTACGATGCGCATGTCATACTAAGTTATATTCTTTATTCTAATCATCAACTTGCCGCTGTTGGATGAAGGGAGCCGAGTTTTTAATTAACAAAATTTCCTTGGATGAATAAAATAAATGGTGGAGAATGCCATTCTATTTCTTCACTTTGTGCTTGGAAATATAGCTTCCTTTGTATTTTTATTCTTAATTTTTAGTGTTGAACTTTGCTTCCTATCCCACTAACGTGCAATCAATTGTATCCGACTACAATTTTTGCTCCAATATATATTAAACACTTATGATTCGATAAAACACACAATATGTTGTACTTTTGAATGTCAATAATCAAAATTCAAAATGCTGGTGCAGGATAACAAGGATCACACTGTTAATGGTGGACGTAATTGATCACGTGTTAGAGATGTTGATATTTAGAAGAAGAAAAACATTCTTTATGAGGAAGATATAAAGACCGGTGATGGGAGAAATAACAAATCATAGATATTATTCATACCATGGATGAGGTAAACTCTACTCCAATGAAAATGATGTTTTGTATTTGTAAATATTTTATCATAAAATTTTATAGCTCAATGAAGTGCAGCAAAAAATTGAATAGAATATTGAAATGCAAGAGAAGAAGAAAGAGACAATTGATGATGCAGATAAATGTGTCACTAATGGAGATCAAGACATTATTATTGGTGGAGATGATAATGTTCTCATGGCGGAGAAAATGCAAACAAGTCAAAAATAAAATGTGCAGTAATCTTAGACGATGAGAAGTAATTAGAATGGACATCTTAAATTGTCTTTAGGTTGGTTCCCTTGCATGAAATTTTTCTATAATTTCCATAAAATAATTTTAAACGATTGATCATTAAAATGTTGGAGAACAATTTAATGTTGATTCGTTTGAATTGTTGAAGTATTTTAATAATTTGAATATCCTTATTCTACCAAATGATCATAATGTTTAGAGTATTTGATTATTGATATTTTCTTATACTAATGCTTAGCTCGGTGCAAATTACTATTGATATTAATGTGATTGTCAACTGAATTCGGCTAACTGGCCGGGCCAATGACTAGTGTTCAGCTAGGGGGATTCTCTATATCCGAACGTCTTCTCTACTTTATTTACCTTAATGTTCTAATATTAGTGGTTGATGTCTTTTATTGCTTTATTAATTATTTTTCTTAATTAAATCAATAGCTAAAGTATTGATTAAATGTAGATAACTCTAGTACTAGTAGTCCATAGTCTCTGTGGAATATGACTTTTCTTGCTATTGTATTGCTTCTACGACGGGTGTACTTGCCTCAGTATTGACACTAAAAAGTGGCCACAAAGTTTATGACGCCATTTGTTGGGTCACTGTGATATTAGGAAGACTTAATTCAATTACTTTAATCATTTTATTATTGCTGTATTTTTATTTATGTTTTTTTGCTTTTTATTCTTTGTTCTTCCTTTTTACACACATGTTGTGTTTGTTTTGGTTTCCGTAGTTTAAGTTAGTTTATGCAAAGAGGTCAATCACCAGAATTTGCATTTGATCCACAAATAGAGAGTATCTTGCATAGACACTAGCGAGAGCAACAACAAACATAGCCATGGCTGAAGATCACACATTGGTTGACAATGGAGGGAATAACAAAACAATGTTGGACTACTATAGGCTAACATTGGATGATATCACCACGAGCATCCAGATTCCTAACATTGCTCTGTTAAGGGAATTTAGCAACTAACCTTCACGTTAATTCCCTGATTGAGAGGTTCTATGAACTCATTCTCGCATCCGGACTTTAATACCAATGTAAGAATTATAGGGGTCTTTTGCTTCTAGGATTTTAGAAAATGAGAGATTATGATAAAACCTTGGATTTTGAATATGAGAGATTATCTTGGATTTTGATTATGTTGGATTTTGAAACTTCCATGTTTGTTTGTAGGATTTGGTAATGGGTTTTAGTAGGTTGGAATTATGGCTTGATGGGGGAAATTACTTTCTTATCCTTAATGAACCACTTTTTACTTTACTTGTATTTTGAATGTTTTTGTATATACATGAAGAATTAGTATATGTAAAACTGGCAGCAAGAAGCCATTTTTGTATATACTTTAATGGCAGCAAGAAGCCATTAAATTAAATTGAAACTCTCAACCCAAACCAATAATGTCGAAAGGAACATCAAGGGTTTGAATTGGATTATAACAAAAAGGAGGATGTCAAGTCCTGGTTAAACCGCTTCTCTTTTGCTCTGAGCTCGCTGGAATGGAAGTAGACGAACGGTCCCCCGGAGTAGACCCCAATCTCACCGGCAAGCCACCGGATCACTCTAGTGGAGGGAGTGGAGGGCCGGAAAGTGCGATGGCTCTAGACATAATTGGAAAGACAACCTCGACGACGATGACAGAAAACGGGGAATAAACGCTAGAGGTAACGTACCCTCCGCTGCCATTTACGCAGACCTCTAATCCCCAATCCGTCTCTTATGCAGGCCATTTTTGTATATACTTTAATGGCAGCAAGAAGCCATTAAATTAAATTGAAACTCTCAACCCAAACCAATAATGTCGAAAGGAACATCAAGGGTTTGAATTAGATTATAACAAAAAGGAGGATGTCAAGTCCTGGTTAAACCGCTTCTCTTTTGCTCTGAGCTCGCTGGAATGGAAGTAGACGAACGGTCCCCCGGAGTAGACCCCAATCTCACCGGCAAGCCACCGGATCACTCTAGTGGATGGAGTGGAGGGCCGGAAAGTGCGATGGCTCTAGACATAATTGGAAAGACAACCTCGACGACGATGACAGAAAACGGGGAACAAACGCTAGAGGTAACGTACCCTCCGCTGCCATTTACGCAGACCTCTAATCCCCAATCCGTCTCTTATGCAGGTGTGGTGACAGGACGAAACCGGGATGCCCTGACGAAGGCGATTACCTGGACACCGGTGGGGGAATCAGATCTGATCACCGGGACGCACAAGGGAGAACCAGCATTGAGTGTCTCTGAAAGTTTCAAGACAAAGTTGTGCATCCCCTGGCAACGCACCTTGATTGTGCGCGGACTAGGTCTTCGAATCAATTACATAACGTTCAGCAACAAGATCAGAGCCCTATGGCGGCCCTCTCATCCCATAGAGATCTGGGGGCATGGACAGGACTGCTTTCTAGTGAAGCTGAGCAACGAATTGGATTACCTCAGAGCCTTAACCGAGGGACCGTGAACCATTTTTTATCATTACCTGGTAGTTTAGCAATGGACTCCGAATTTTCGCCTAACGGAAAAACTTCCGAAATCGATTGTGGTATGGGTTTAATTTCCGGCCTTCCCCGTGCATTTTTACCATAAAGAGATACTCTTCTCCTTGGGAAATATGATCGGGCGGGCGATCAAACTAGACTATCATACTTTGCATCAAGAACGAGCGAAGTTCGCAAGAATTGCTGTCGAGGTTGACCTTTCTAAGCCACTGGTTCCTAGAATATGGCTGGATGGAGCCTGGCAGTACATCGAGTATGAAAACTTACCAGTGGTGTGCTTTGAGTGTGGGAAGGTGGGACACACGTCGGATACCTGCCCGGGTTTGCGTCTGACGCAAAAGCCAGAAAACGAGACTCTGAGTCAGGCTCCGGCGAGGGCTCTCACGGCGACCGGAGAAGATGAGGAAGAAAAGGAAGGTTTCGGAACTTGGATGCAAGTCTCCCTCAAATCAAGGCGTGGAAACAGAGGGGGCGAAAAAGGAAATTCGACCAATAATCTTGCCGCAATTCCCAAAGCCAACGGGACTTCATACGCTAGCAAAGGGGGGAAGTTTGAGGGTGTTCAAAAGGAAGTAGCTAACAGAAAAGGAAATCCTGCGCTTCTGAAATCGGGGCCTAATCAGAAGATTTTGGAGAAGAAGGCAGGGACAGCGGAGAAGGGAGGAAGTAAGACAGGATCGTATAAAGGGAAAGAGGCTTTAAAGGAAGGTTTTCTAACCGTTGCAGAAAATGAAAGAGGCCTGTTGGGACCTCACCCCTCGCCAAGTGTAGTCGACATCGCTGGGCCTTCAACCTCAAAGGGGCCGGCTCCCCTGGGCCTTAGTCCATCCCCTCCTATCATGAATGGGCCTGCAAACAACTCCTCGGCCCCTTCCCTGGAAACACCCGCTCCTCTTATCTCCCGGGAAGTAAAAGGCCCAAAAGGGACCCTCATCCAGGTCATCAAAGCCCAACCACCGAACCCTTCTCAAGGGAAATCCACTGAAGCTGAAGCGCCTTCGGTCGCGAAAAGAACGAATCATCAAAAGTCTCTGAAAGCTCCAAAGCAGAAAGCAGGGACGCCTTTGTCACAAGCAAAAAAATCATTGCAAATCGGGTCTCCAGCGAAGGATAAGAAGAGAAAATCCAAAGCCAAGATTGCGATGCTCACCCTCCAGGAGATTGATGCCTGGACAAATGCCGCCAAGTATGGCTCGGAGACAACAGCCGGAAGAGAAATCTGCCCGGAGAGCTCTGGCGAAGCCACGGGGATTTCAACGCCTCTTGTGCCGTAGCGATGTCTCCGCACTCCTCCTTCGTTCTTCAGTCTAATCTCCTACTATTATGGTAATGAATCAGACAAATTACAATTTCAAAATTTGTGCGTGGAACATTGGTGGGGCTAAGGGACGGGATGCGATCCGTTCTTTGAAGCTTTTGATTCAAATTCATAAGCCTGAATTTCTCATTCTGCTGGAGCCTCAGATCAGCGGTGATTCAGCCGACCGTGTCTGTGGCCTTTTGGGCTATCCAAATGTGATAAGGGTTGAAGCTGACGGACGGAAAGGGGGTATTTGGCTGTGCTGGAACAGAGATTCATATGTAGTCGAGGTTCAATCCGCCTGCTTCCAACATCTTACCGTCAAGGTCGCTAGTGGGATGATGCCTCCTTGGCTTCTCACAGCAGTCTATGCCTCTCCTCAACATCACTTGCAACACAGTCTCTGGAAAGCCATTGGTGACACGAGTTCCTCCAACGAGCTGCCTTGGATACTCACTGGAGACTTTAATGCTATTCGTAGCACTGATGAGAAGTCTGTCCAGAGCAATGCTACCACCATCAGGCGGTGCAGCATTTTTAATGACAGGATTAATAGAGCTGACCTCATTGATCTTGGATTTTCAGGACCTCGCTTTACCTGGTCACGAGGAGACAGCCAACATTTTTTCAAGGCCAGCCGTATTGATCGTAGTCTTTGTAACACCAGCTGGAATCAGAGCTTCCCCAGCACTTCGGTTGCTCACCTCCCCCGCCTTCACTCTGATCACCACCCTTTGCTCACGACAGTTGGTTTTCCTAGAGGCTCCCAGTCAGCAGCCCGGCCTTTTCGCTTTGAGGCGGCGTGGGTTATGCATGACTCGTACTCTTCCTTCCTAGCAGGGAATTGGGATGCTTCAGCCACTCTTCCAGCAGCGCTCCAGGACTTGTCGAGCAAGCTCAAGGAGTGGAACTCCTCTACTTTTGGCAATATTTTCCAAAGGAAAAGAAGACTTTTGAAGCGGATTGAGGGAATCCAAACTCGAATGGCGCATGGTTTCCTACCCGGGCTAGCCAAATTTCAAGCGAAGCTCAACGCCGAGCTAGACCAAATCTTCACCCAAGAAGAGTTGTTCTGGTATCAACGGTCACGGGAGCTATGAGTTAACTTCGGGGAAAGGAACACTGCTTTTTTCCACCAACAAGCAAACATTCGTCGAAGGCAGAACAAAATTGCTGGGTTGAAGAAGAACAATGGAGAGTGGACTTCTGACCCCCTAGAGATGGCAAACATGGTCTTTGAGTTCTTTCTATCTTTATACACGCAGGATGTCTTGGGATATGAGGACCTAATGCCAAAGGACTGTTTTCCAAGAATCTGCCAGGAGGACCTTCTGAGGCTTCTGCGACCGTTTGTGGGAGCGAACATCTACCAAGCAATCCATGAGATGAAGCCTTTCCGAGCGCCAGGGCCAGATGGTTTTCAGGCTTTTTTCTATAAAAAAATCCTGGCTAACTGTGGGTAATGCTCTGATTAATATGGCGATGGAATTTTTCTCTACAGGTCAACTACCTCAGAGCATCACGGAGTCCTCGGTGGTGCTAATCCCGAAAGTTGAGCACCCGGAAACTGTCACGCAGCTTCGACCGATATCTCTCAACAATGTCTGCCTCAAGGCCATAACTAAGGCGATCGCTAACCGTTTGAAGCCTGTCATGAGGACCCTCGTCTCCCCTCGGAAAAGTAGTTTCATCCCGGGACGCCAAACTACTGATAACATTATTGTTTTGCAGGAAGTCCTTCACTACCTCAGGAAGAAGAAAAGGAAGAAGGGTGGAGTGGTGTTGAAAATTGACCTGGAAAAAGCCTACGACCGAATTCGGTGGGATTTTCTCCGAGATACCCTGATTGAGATCGGTCTCCCCAGCTCCTGGATCAACTGCATTATGTATTGTGTTGAGCAGAACAGCATGCGCCTTTTGTGGAATGGAGAGCTCTCTCATCCGATCACTCCAACTAGGGGGGTTAGACAGGGAGATCCACTTTCCCCTTATCTCTTTGTTCTGTGTATGGAAAGGTTGTCTCACAGGATTGACCAGGCGATTAGAGAGAAGCGTTGAAAGCCGATCTCCCTCTCCCAGGGTGGGCCTGCTCTCTCTCACCTGTTTTTTGCCGATGACTTAGTTTTGTTTGCAGGAGCTGAGAGTTCACAGATCAAGGTTATTAAGCAGTGTCTCGACGAATTTTGTTCTAGCTCCGGGCAAAAGGTGAACTACTCAAATCGGCAATCTTTGTCTCACCTAACATAAACAGGCGGCGAGCCAGACAGATGAGCAGAAAAGCTGAGATTCCTTTGACAGTTGACTTGGGGCGGTACCTGGGAGTGGGGGCCATCCACGGGCGGGTCACTAGAGATCGATATAAAGACCTCATCCTCAGGATTCAGAAGAAGCTTGCCCCTTGGAAGGCAAAACAGCTCTCTATGGCGGCTCGGATCACGGTGGTTAAGTCGGTATCTTCCTCAATCCCTATCTACCCGATGCATATAGAACTTGTTCCTGTTAATGTATGCAGGAGCTTGGACAAGATCAACCGGGACTTCATATGGGGCGAATCCGACGAGAAGAAGAGGATGCACTTAGTCGCTTGGCCCAAGCTCACTCAGCCACGACTCTCAGGTGGCCTGGGCATCCGTCCCGCTAGACCAGTCAACCTGTCCATGCTCGCCAAGGGGGGATGGCGAATAATCAACGACCGCGACAGCCTGTGGTGCCAAGTGATGCGCGACAAGTACGACAAGAATAAAGAGCATCTTGAGATCCTACAGCGGTGACAGGGAAGTTCACTGGCTTGGACTAGTTTCTCCAAAACTGCCGATCTTGTTAAACAAGGGGCAGCTTGGAATATTCATAAAGGTACTCAGGTTCGTTTTTTGGACTGATGTGTGGCTCTCGCAGGTTCCCCTGGCTAAGCTGGCAATGCAACCTGTTCCGGAAGAAGGCCTCGAGCTCAAGGTGGCCGATTGCGTCGACGAGGAGGGGAGATGGCTTGCTCACAAATTCAGCGAGTTTCTCCCCATGGAAATCCAGCAGCAGATCACAGCTTTAGCGGTGGATCCCCTAGCAACGAGTGATGACTCTCTTCTATGGCGCCCCACCTCTAATGGGCGCTTTTCCACAAAGAGTGCCTACCATCTGATGATGCCAAGCCCGCAAGGAGGTGATCATAAGCTGTGGAAAATGCTGTGGAACCTTCCTGTTCCGGAGCGCATCCGTTGCTTCATGTGGCTGCTCGTTCTTGGGAAAATCAGCTCCAATGAGGCTCACTGCCAAAGACACCTTACTACTGAGTCCGATTGCTATAGATGCGCAGGGAGGGTCGAAACCATTTTGCACATATTTCGAGAGTGCCCTCCCGCTACCTACTTTTGGACCAGAGTGGTGGCATCCTCTGATCAGCCGGCCTTCTCCTCAATGTCTACCCAGACTTGGCTTAGGAAGAACATTCTCAGCGAAGACACCTCCATAACAGGTATTCCCTGGAACGCCTTCTATAGCATAGCCGTCTGGCTTTTGTGGAAGAATAGAAATGATGGGACCTTCCAGGGGATTAGTAAGACTTTGTCTGCTCCTTCACTCACCCAAGCTATCAAAGTGAAAGCAAGGCTGTGGTATGATGCATGGAAAGCCCCAACAATCGGCTCGGATAGACTGTCTCCTCCAGCTCAAAGGATTCAAGCAGAGATTGGGTGGAAGCTTCCCCCTCCGGGATGGTGGAAACTAAATGTTGACGGGGCCTCGAATGGGAACCCAGGAGTGGCAGGAGCCGGTGGAGTCCTGAGGGGCAGCGACGGTCGATGGGCTGGAGGTTTCTGTGCTAGCCTGGGATGCTGCTCGGCGGTGATGGCTGAGCTATGGGGTTTATACCATGGGTTGGATATCGCGTGGAGACATGGATGCAGGACTCTTATGGTGGAATCGGACTCGAAGCTGGCTATCGAACTAGTGAACAACAGGACGGACCCTCTCCATCCGTATGCTACGTTGTTGGCGGCCATCCGGCGTAAGATAGCTCAGGATTGGGTAGTTCGGCTATCTCATGTATACCGGGAAGGGAATAGAGTCGCGGACTGGCTCTCGAAGCACAGTCTCGTCTATCCCTACGGCGTACATGAGATGCCGAACTCACCCCAAGCCTTGGTGCCTCTGCTCAGAGAAGACGACCAAGGTGTTACTTTCCCTAGGGACATTGTTCCCTGCCCGCCGTCCCCCTCTCTGTACCCCTCCCTTTTGTATTCGTCTGTTCTTGGCCTTTGCGCCTCCTTTCACGCAAAAAAAAAAACAAAAAGGAGGATGTAAGCATGAAATAATTAATTGTTGAGCTTCATATAAAAGGAAGGCAAAACGGCGATATGCAGAGATGGAAAGGGTTGGTGGAGCTTTTTGCTGTGTTGCAATCCCTTGCCAACAAAGAGACAGAGTTGGTGAGATGAGAGTGTAGACAAAAGTCCTCAGTAGAGATAATAATAACTGAGGGCAAAATTGGATTACACAAAATGAGTGGGGGTAACACGGTCATTAAACATCATGGATTATATCTATCTTCCAAAATTCCAGCTATAGATGTAGGATTTTATAATCCATGGGGCCCACGGATTTTAGCTCCAAATAATCCAATATTAGTGGACCCCACAGATTGAAACAAAATCCATTATATGCCAACAAACATGGATTCATTATAAAGTCCAACATATGTTGGATTTTGGGCCAAAATACCAAAAGCAAACGAGATATTGGGAAAGAATGGATAATAGAATTAGGATTAGAGATTGAGAATAGGAGAAGAATTGGGAAAGAAAAAGGGGCTGGGGGAGATTAGAGAAAAGAAAAAGAAATAGGCAATTAGGGATTTTAATATTGTTCTTTCATAGTTTTGAAAAGGGCTAATACCACTGGAAATACCAGCCTTTAGCGAAAGTGTCATTTATATTATGTAACTTCAATAAATACAAAAATATTCCAACCTATTAGGTGTTTGCGTCATTTGTGTTATGAGAATTTTTGTTGACCGTTAGATTTAACGGTTGCCCAAACTGTGGTCAACTTTTGTTTGACCATAAATAAAGTGACGCTTAGGTGACGTCCACTTATGTGCCACATATGAAATTATTATTAAAATAAAAAATTTAAATCAAGTAAAACGAATTGTAGGAAAAAGAAGAAAAAAATAATTGCCCACTTTCTCTCCTCGTTCTCTTCTATCTTTCCACCATATCGTCGTCGTACTCCCACTCCACCAGGCACCTGTTACTACCGTTCCAGGGGAGCCGCCGGTGAACAATCCCCACCTCATACACTCCTCATGCTGCCGGTGACATTACTCCCCCACCTAACCACTAAAACCAAGTTTATGTTAGTATCGGCGGTGGCGGCGGCCATGGTGGTAGTTTCCCTGCGGGCGAATCGGGAGAACATAACGACCTCCGCATCGAGAGGGAAATAGAACTGACGTTTCGAGCCGAATAACTTCTCGATCGTGGATTACGCTGTCGTGACCGACTCGTCGAGATCTCGTTTCTTGCGTTGTTGGTCGCAATTAGGGTAGATCTGGACTGCTTGAAATCGGCGACTGCGGCGACGAGGGTGGGAAATCGGTTGTTGCTCCTCCTACTGCTCGAGCTCGTTTTTGTGCTCAACGGCTTCAAGAGCCCACGCGTCGGGCTTATCTCATGGATAACCTGAACCTCTAACGCACCGGCGACTCCGCCCCAAAAAATCCAGAAATCGAAGAAGATGAGAGAGTATGAGCGAGGGTTTTGTGGAGGTCGGGAAGAAGGAGATTGAGTGGTCGTCGATATGGATTATGCCGGATTGGATCGGGATTGAATGTAGAGAAGGGTGGCGGCGATGATTGTGTGCAGAGGAAGAGGAGAAGAATAGGGATGTTCGTGTCTCGAGGAGATCAAGTTTCACCAGTCAGAGATATTTTCTTTTTTTATTTTCTTTTATCCCTTAAAAATCAATTAAAAAGGCTTGAATTTTATTTTTCTTAGCCTCTACCTAAGCGCTGATGTGGCGCTGACTGTGATTTCAGTAAAAAACTAACGGCAAAACTAACGGAGGTTACACAAATGACATATCGAAACTTACGTAATATAAATGACACTTTCGTTAAAGGTTGGTATTTCTAGTGGTATTAGCCCTTTTGAAAAATAGTACTTCAACCTTTTAATAGGTTTTCCCAAATTACAAAGGAAATAGCAAAATATCCCACTACAGTCGAGTGAAGACCCTCTAACCCGACCTGCCAGTCCCTGTGCTTCTAACAGATGATCACAGTCATTTGTCTTAACAATGATTGTTGTGAATTTGAATATAATGTCAGATGCCGGATTCGTTGAGAAAGTTGTTTGGAAGTGATTTATAGTTGGATAGCACAAAATGACATTAAGCACATCTCCCGGCTGAATGGAAGGTTAATAAGAAATTGCCGCCATCTGAAATTGCAGTCTGTCCATTTAGCTATTATCTAAACCTCTGAAGCAACTAATCTCTGTCCCGGCTCCTCCACGCTGCACCGGCAATTTACCACCATTTGTAGCACTACATCACACTCCAAATTAGGAAGGGAAGCTCTATTCTTCGTTCAACCCTTACCTCAGTTAACAAATAGGTTAGGTACGTTATGATCATACATCAACAAGCAGACAAAAGAAAAAAGCAGCAGATATGGCTAGTGCAGACTGCCGATAGACTACCGATGAGGGCCCTAATTGAAATGCCAAGGATTAAGATGTTATCAATCATCAGACATCTTTTTCTGAGGAAGAGTTTGGTATCATCACCAATTCACTATCATCCTTTTAACTTGTTTAGGACTTACAGAAACTGTACCAGAAAACGGTTCATTCAACAAGTTGACACTAATTTTCAAACAACAAAGTATTGATTCATGAATGGAAATACCTCTTCCAAAACCCATCTGATTGAAGAAACCATACCAATTGTACACCATTTCTACTACTAGCCGCCACTCAGTGTCATATCCACATTGGCCACCTTCATGCTTCAGTTTCGAATACTCTCATGAAAGTAATCAATCACAACATCTCTCTGATGAAATCCAGGTTTAATGTATCCCTGACAATGAGGAACATCCCAAGAAGCAAAACCAACGTAATCCCCGACGACATAATTCGCTGCTCCACTTCCAAAGGTAGCTTCCTCCCACCTCTGGCTGCTTCCACAGCAATCAATGCCAAAGACCCTCCATCGAGAGCAGGCAAAGGGAGAAGGTTAATCACAGCCAAGTTCAAATTGAGTAGTGCCGCAAATTGGTAAAGCCCATCAACATTCGACCTAGCAACTTCAGCACCAACTGCAATGATAGCTACAGGGCCTGAAACTTTACTTGCAGTCTGTGAGAAGTTCATCACAGTCTGCCTCAAGCTGTCTAAAACATTGTAGGTAAGGCCCACAAACTCCCTTCCAGCAAAGCTAAACGCCTCCATGATATTCCTAGCTACGATCTTATCAATTTTGAAATTCGGTGACAACTGAACTCCAATTCGACCAGTTCCATCAGAACTCTCATCTGGGGTTACCTTGATTTCAAAATCCTGCTGTCCTCTCCCCACTTTCAGCACCACGTCTCTCTTGGGATTCAACTTAATGACCTCGACAACCTCAGAGACCGAGTTAACCCCAGGTTTAAGCATCTCAGCACCATTGATAGAGAGGATAACGTCACCAGAGAGCAACCCATCTCTAGAAGCAGCAGAGAAGGGTCGAACTTCAGGGACAAGGACACCAGGAAATGCCTCTTGAACGGGCAAACCAACCGAACAAACTTGAACCAGGATAATCGCATAGGCGAAAATGATATTAGCAATTACACCAGCTGAAATCACTAATACCCGGTCCAGAATCGGCCGATTCTTGAGCAGATTCTCGTCGTCGGCTGGGATATCGCTCTCGGGATCGTTATCAGGGAACCCCACGAACCCACCTAAGGGGAAAGCTCTAAGCGAGTACTCGACATTGTTGGAATTGAACTTGGCTAAAATAGGACCGAACCCAACTGCGAATTTACTTACGTGGATCCCCTGGAGGGTGGCGGCGAGGAAGTGGCCGCTCTCGTGCACGATTATGATAGCGGTCAATACTCCGGCAGCTTCCAAGACTGAGTCCAAGTTGCCGAAATCGAGTCCCGGAACGGCGGCGCAGGAGGGGAAATCGCGCTGCCGGCGGCGGTGTGGGTATGTCCGGAGGAATGGATGGTTGTTCTTCTTGGAGAGGAGATTTGGGGAGAGGAGAGGGTACGAGAAATGGGTTCTGGGTCGTTTTGGAGTTGAGGATCTGCAGGAAGGAGAGGAAGCAGGAGGCAGAGGTGAAGAGGAAGAAGCAGAGAAGGAAAATGGCATGGTTAAAAATGGCTGCTCTCGTTTATGCTCCTCTCTATGTTAAGAAATTTGAGAGAGGGGGAAGAAGGAAGAGGTTCGAAGACGAGGAGAGCAGCAGCATTTGGATAACGCCATTGATAGTTCAATAGAAAATATAAATTTGGGGTCTGTGGCGGGGAAGTGATTTAGATGTCTCGCTCCATTGTCTTCCACACAAACCCCAAAATTGGGAGAGAGGGGGATTTTTATCAGGATCACAATGAGAAAGGCCGTGTTTGGCAAGTTCGCATTGTTCGTACGCGGTAAGAGCCCAATTGTGTTTCTTCATTTGGACCGGGCAGAAAGCCCAGTGCAAATTTTTGGACCAAATTACAAGTTCGAAGGTTTAGGGTAGTAATTGATGGTTTTGCTGTGTTAATGCACCATTGAATCTTTTTTCTGGGTGGTCAGATCTAAAAGTTGAGATTAAAATATAATTTATTTAATTTATTTGTATATTCTTTGTTTTGACTCGAGTTTTGAAATCTTTTGTATCAATAGAATGAGTTCCTTATTATCTACAAAATTATATTAGTTTTGGTTATATTTTGAGTTTGTTTTGTACCACCCATTACCACTCTATATTACTTTCGTTTACTTATTATTTTTGATTATTTTGCACAGAAAAATTGAGTTCACAGTAGTCTATAAATTTGTGGAAAAAATTCAGAACAAAATATAACACTTTATACCGCCCCCTTGTATAGAGTGGTACAATACTACTATATAAAACCAGCCACGTAAACAAAATAATTTTGCACAAACAACACATAATGTTTTTTGGGTGTTTGCCTTGTATAATACTACTTTCTAATTTCACATAATAATTTTATGTTAATTTTCTTTACAAAAGATAACGCCTCCATAAGTCTCGAATTTTAAACTAATTACAAATGTTGGTGTTTGTGAAGAAAAAAGATTTGTCGTTACGTAGATGACCCTCTTTGTCACTTGTGAAATTTAGGAAAGATAAAAAGTAATTTTGAGAGGAGATGAAGTAATGACATGGAAAACAAATAATAGAAAGAGAAAAATAGACGTGAATTTACATAAGGACATAGTTTCAAATTTTGCACTAAATAATGAGCCATTTGAAAATAACTCATATATAGGAGGCATTTGGAAATGACTCGATAAAGTCATTTGAGACTTTCGTATGGAGAAAATAACTCATGTATTTATTGTTTAGCAAACGAGTGATTTGGTATAAAATGGAGGGTAGGATACTATGCTAACCCCTTAAAGGGTCTGCTTTTGGACACTCTCTTTTTGATTGGTCACTTTTCCATTCAATCATTTGGCAAGTTGTATTAATGGAAGTTGTTTTTTATTTTATTGTTTGTAATCTTGTAAATTGTGAAAGCATTAATTGTGATAATAATTATGCGTAGGGAAGCGGCAATATTGTTGAATGGGGAAAGTATTTTTTTCAACTTTACCATATTCCTGATATTCCATCTCGAAAAATAGCAACGCATCCCTCTGCAGAAATCAATGGCGGCCAGAGACCATCGACCGTCGCCGCGGTGGGATCACCTCCGACCTGTGTGGTGGGTTGATCGTCGACATAGGACGAGATATAGGGGATGAAGAAGAACATGAAGGACGGCTGCGGGTCGTTAAGAACATGAAAGGCGGCGGAGAACCCGCCGGAGATGAAGAAGAATACCTGGGGGTTTCCTGTCGACGGAGAACCAGTCAGAGATGAAGAAGAATATGAAGGACGGAGGCGGGTTGTTACTTACCGCTCCCTGTAGTGAAGTTCAACTCTACAACGTCTTGGAGACGTCGGCACTGCCGTGAACATGTACTACTAATCTGGTACATGTACCACTGACCTGATACCAGTACGAGTGCAACTATTCAAGCCATACTTTCAACATAAAAATGTGACAAACCCACTTGTAGTGTTAGATATACTGAACTTGTACCATTAGCAAAATCGAAACTCATCCTAAATGTTCCCATTGCAGTGTTCGATAGACTTTGGAGTGGTACCATTGAAATGGTACATGTATCACTGAACTGATATACCAGTGAACTGATACATGTACCACTGAACAAATATATGTACAACCAATCTTATACGTAAACAAACCAACAACTTCCCATTAGTATCACCACTAATTGTGGAGTAGAATGTGTTATCAAAAAAGGAAAATGCCAACAACAATAAAATATCCAGCCAATGCAACAAATAAACATGAAGTCACTATGAAATTGTTTGTGGGAAGTTTAAATAACGGAAAATTAAGTATAGCCTTTCTCTCCTCTGAACTACACGTCGTTTTTTGTCGCTCCCTGCCGTGAAGTGCGACCCTCTAGCGTCTGGCAAACGATGACACTGCCGTGAAATGTACCACTGTTGTGGTACATATACCACTGTACTGATACATGTATCACTAAAGTTGTACATGTACCACTAGGTTGATACAAGTACCAGTGCAATTATTCAAGTTATACTTTCCATACCAAAATGTGACCACCCACTTGCAGTATTTGATCTTTTCTACTTTAACCATTAGCAAAATTGAAAATTGAAACTCATCCTACATGTTCCCATTGTAGTGTTAGATATACTTTGGATTTATGGCATTGAAATGGTATATGTATTACTTAACTAATATATATACCAGTTATGTCATTGAAAGTAACAGAAATCACGTTTCTTCAACAACCTAGCCGTCCCCGGCAACGGCGCCAAAAACTTGACTCGCCTCTACCGTCACACTAGAAAATGGTCAAGTGTAACAACCTACTAGAGCGTAGTATAGCGGGTTTGGGTTTTAATGTCAACCCGGGTCCTAAGTGTGATGACTACTTCATGAATTCTTATTATTTAGCAGTGAAAGTGTAGTGAAGGTCCAAGCAAACAAACAAGCAAAGCAGTAAAAGGTTGTTTTCAAGTTGAGAGAGGTCACCCGGATAAGGTTCCCCCTAGACTGCAGTTAAGCCAGATAGTAATTTACCAAGTTCGAATTCAAAGATAGTTATACTGCGGGAGGTTCTTATGCAGTATGCAATCTCGACTAAAGGTCTCCAGACCCTCTCAATCTGAGTCCCCAGCGGGCGACTAACCTCCACCGGAGTAAACAGATTGGGGCCCTAACGAACCAAACCTCCACTACCAAAGTAAATCCGGTACATGATAGTGAATTGAATCCTCGACTAAAGCCGTCAATTCACTACCCTCAATCAAGGGTGCTCTATCAACCTACGCAGATATTCTCTTTCTAGGTCAAAGCAGAAACAACAGGAATTTGATAATGATTCATGCCATTCAACAAATCAGGCCTCAATTGAATATAATCAAATCAATGGATTCATATTTGGGTTCATACAATCAGACCTAACATACAAATCTAGGGTTCTTCATACCCAGGTGAATGTGGAAGTTACTCCATGGAGAGAGAAGCAAACTCTAGCTCATAAGCAGAAATCATGCTGTGAAGAATGGGGTTCTGCTTCTGGTCGGCAATCTGCACTTCTCCAAGCGTTAACCGAGCTCAACTGATGATGAAGATCGATCTAAGGCACTTGGGAACTCTGGTTTGTCGCTTTCTCTCTCTAGGTATCACTTTCTTTCTCTAAAACTCGGAACCCTTAAAAATCAGCCTTCTTCCCCTTAAAAACCAGCAGGCCGCGATCCCCAGGCGGGTATTTCGGGTGCCCGGCCGGGGATTTCTAAATGCAGCGCACATGCATAGGGGATAATACCCGGTCGCGGACAAGAATACCCGATCGGGTATTTTTGCTCACTGGCCGGGACCCATTCTGTTTCTCAACGCCCAAAAGCGCTTTTCCCCGGCCTCCATGGAATTTTACCCGGCCGGGTATTTTTTATCATGGCCGAGTATTTTGCTCCTCCAACACCCTTCAACTCAAACGTCCTCCTTTTGACCCGAAACTCGTTTCTTCGCCTCAACGTCAACGCCAAGCCCTGAAATATGACATAAACACACAACCTAGCGTGAAATCGGCTTAAAACACGAGAATCAACATCTCCAACGGCTCAAGAATAGGGGTAAAAACATGTGCAATCAATGGTCTATCAAATTCCCCCACACTTAACCGTTTGCTTGTCCCCAAGGAAACCTAACTCAAACCAATGCAACTCTCCAGACCTGTATAACAACAAACAACCCCAATCGTCGGTAGAGGATTTCCTAGATCATATAGCAGCTTACGAGGTCAACTGGTCTTCTAAGACGTTCCCTATCTCTCTCAATGCGAGTACTAGACTCAAGCCACGGTCATGAGAAGAAGTGAATGTAAGACAGGCAGTTCATGGATAAAGAGACTCACACCATTCACAACCAAGGACTCATTGTACCGGGGTGCTCTTTCACTTCATTTCACCGTTGGAATCCCTTTTTCACTTTCATTTTACATTTCTTTTTTTTCTTCATTCACTTGGCGGGGGTTCCAACAGCAGTCTTTTGCACGGTCGACGCTTATTAGTCGAGCAAGAGCAATTTCTGTACATCTGGCGCTCGCCAGAGTACTTCTTTTAACTCCTTTTCCTCAACTCGTGTGGAGGGTCAATGAAATTAAGGGGGGGGGGGGGGGTCGGAAGCTCTATCCGTGCCCTTAAAAACACATCCTCGAGTAGACAAACCGTTCAACGGGTGAACATTTTACTTGTACTAGAGACAACTTAGCTTCACCTTGTAGGAGTACCCCACTAAGGATCACTAAAATCTCTTCCAAAACCCGATTTTGCAATGAACGGTGCCACACACGTTGGGCTTACCCCTTGTTTAAGATTTCAATGATTTCGACATGGAGGACCAACTGCTATTCACTTCCCACATGAGCACCCTGTTCGATACACGAGTCGATAACGCATTCCAGTCAGAGTCACCAATACCACATGAATTCAACGGTCCTAGCTCCACTAATTCACAAAATCAACTGGCACAACAGAGAGCTAGATAGGAAAAATCTTATACTTCAACATCCTCCATAGTGCTACACTACCTTCCTAGGTTGTACATTACTATAGAGACTGTCAATTCAAAGCATATTGAGCAGGCAATTTACAAGGAAACACGTACTTGGAGCCCTCAAAACGAAATTTGGACAATGGACTAGGCTCCAAGCACACAAACAGATCTAATGCAGTCAAAAGAGAAACATCCCTCCACACTTAAGTTCGACATTGCCTCAATAGAAAAGAGGGAAGGATAAGGGGAACGATGTTACCGGTGTGCACGGATTGCATGAGACTGGAAGGGGACCAGTCTGAGTGAAGATGACTGGAGAGGGGACCAGTCAGGAGCAAAGGCACAACAAAAGGGAAAACAAAAGCTCAGCCACAATACGTTAGGTCCAGTTGTCAGGCCAATAGTACATCAAACAAAAGAAAAGAAAATAAACCAAAACACAAGACAGTTTGCACTCCGAATCAAACAAAAGCAACACAAGACGGGCAACGAGTACAGCCTACTTGAGCCCGGTGAAGTCGATCTGATCCATGAGGTCGTCAACCCCATCTGGCGGTGGTGGCGGGGGTGGTGAGTGGTCCCACCGGGTGGTCTAGTGGTGCTCCGGAGGCGGGTGGCAGGACTGGAGCAGGTGCTCCTCATCTCCATCATCCGGCGGCTACGGTCCCACTCCCGCTCGATGTGAGAATTGGAGACTCCCAGCTAAGCCTCCATCCGATCGAGGCGCTCATCCACAACCGTCATCCGAGACTGGTACTCGGCCTGGTGGGACGAATACTGCTGGTAGAACTAGACCTGATGGTCCATGAGCTGCTGGTTCTGGAGCCCAAGCTGCTGGAACTGGAGCCCCATATGCTGGAACTGCTCCGTGAAGAAATCCATCGACGGGCCAGACGCCATCGACGGACCAGAAGGACCGGAGGAGGACTTACTTCTCTCGGATCTCCGTCGTGGCTGAAGGTCCCCTGGTGGGGACAGCGGGGGCTCCGGCTCATCAGCATCCATGGCCCCACCATCATCATCATCATCATCCTCATCGTCCTCTTCCTCGCCGGTGTAGTCGTCGTCCTCCTCATCCTCATCAAGATCTGCATCCTTCTCAGGGGGCAAAGACAACTGTTATAAACGCGCTGC